TTATTTTATCATTGATTTCCAATTTCATTCCATTAAGATCAGATAAAATGCATGGTAGTATCTCTACTCCTTTGTATTTGCTAAGAGTTGCCCTGTGACATAATATATGGTCTATTTTTGAGAAGGATTCATGTGCTGCTGAGAAAAAAAGTGTATCCACTTGATGTTGGTTGATATATTCTATATATGTCAATTAAGTCTAAGTTATTAATTGTGTTATTGAGATCTATAGTTTATTTATTCAACTTTTGTTTGGAAGATCTGTCCAGTGGTGTGAGAGGTGTGTTAAAATCACCCATGATTATTGTGTTGTGGTCTATTTGACTCTTGAACTTGAGAAGGGTTTGTTTGATGAATGTAGCTGCACCATTATTTGGGGCATATATATTAATGATTGTTAAGTCTTGTTGGTGTATGTTTCCCTTGAACAGTATGTAGTGTCCTTCTTTATACCTTTTGATTAACTTTGGCTTGAAGTCTCTTTTATTTGATATGAGTATGAACACCTTTGCTTGCTTCCGAGGTCCATGTGAGTGGTATGATTTTTCCCAACCTTTCACCTTCAGTCTGTGTATGTTTTTTCCTATCAGATGAGTCTCCTGTAGGCAGCTTATTGTCTACAGGAGTTGGATCTTTTTTTAAATCCAGTCTACTTGCCTATATCTTTTGATTGGTGAGTTTAAGCCATTAACATTTAGGGTTACTATTGAGATATGGTTTGTATTTGCTCTTATATTTGTTTATTTTTGTTATTTAACTTGATTTGTTTTTCCTCTTTGATTAGTTTTTCTTTACTGTGCTACCTCCCACAGTTGGTTTTCTTTCTTTTTTTTTTTTGAGAGAGAGAGAGAGAGAGAGAGAGTTTTAATATTTATTTTTTAGTTTTCGGTGGACACAACATCCTTGTTTGTTTGTGGTGCTGAGGATCAAACCCAGGCCGTATGCATGCCAGGCGAGCATGCTACCACTGGAGCCACATCCCCAGCCCTCCCATTGTTGGTTTTCATTGTTATTTTTCATTTCCTCTTCGTGTAATGTTTTGCCAAGGATATTTTGAAGAGCTGATTTTCTAGCTGCAAATTCTTTTAACTTTTGTTTATCATGGAATGTTTTTATTTCATCTTAAAACCTGAAGCTTAATTTTGCTGGATACAAGATTCTTGACTGGAATCCATTATCTTTCAGCATTTGAAATATGTTGTTCCAGGATCTTCTAGCTTTTAGACTCTGTGTTGAAAGATCAGCTGTTAACCTAATTGGTTTACCCCTAAATGTAGTCTGCTTTCTTTCTCTTGTGGCTTTTAAAATTTTTTCCTTGTTCTTTATGTTGAGCATCTTCATTATAATGTGTCTTGGTGTGGATCTCTTGTGATTTTGCACATTCAGCATCCTGTAGGCTTCTAGGATTTGGATTTCTGTTTCATTCTTCATGTCCGGGAAGTTTTCTATTATTATTTCATTGAACAGATTGCTCATTCCTTTGGTTTGGACCTCTATACCTTCCTGTATCCTAATAACTCTTAAATTTGGTCTCTTTATGCTAATCCCTTATTTCTTGGATGTTCTGCTTGTGGTTTCTTATCAGTGTCACTGTGCTGTATACATTCTTTTCGAGATGATATACTTTGTCTTTGTTGTCTGATGTTCCATCTTCTAAGAGTTCTACTCTGCTGGTGATACTCTCATTTGAGTTTTTAATTTGGTTTATTATTTCCTTTATTTCCAGGACTTCTGTTTGGTTTTTTTGTATAATCTCTACCTCCCTGTAGAGTTGATCTTTTGCTTCTTGGATTTGTTTATGTAATTCGTTGTCAAAGTGATCCTTCATTGTCTGCATTTGCTGTCTAAAGTCTTCCTTGAGACTCCAGATCATCTGAACCATGTATATCCTGAAATCTTTATCTGACATTCCTTCTGCTGATATGTTACCTCTTCTAATGTTGAATTGTCCTGCATCATTTGTGGTCCTTTCTTTTCTTGTCTTTTCATACTGCTCACGTTTCTTTCCAGCTCTGTATGACTGTTGGGTTAATGTTTTTTTCCTATATATTTATATTGCTCTTGTATAGTTCCAAAATCTCTCCAATCAGCCACAGAACTGCGCTGGTAGCCACGCCCACCAATAGATGGAGAGTAAGGTTTTCCAAGATGGATTCTGTCTGTTTTCTGCATAGGATGTTTGTTGAGGTGGGGGGGGGTGCTGGGGTTACCTTGTGCTGTGTTCAGAGCTCGGTCTGGTGACCCACAAGCAAAGCCTCTGCGTTCTGCACTGCCTTCCGTCTGCACTGACCACGCTGAGGGTTCACAGTAAAAATATTTCATTATTTTTCTATCTTACATTCTTTCTTAGTACCTTTATTATGAACCTCAGCCCCCAATGGCTGCTGCTGCCACCCACAGTTCACCTCTCAGGCTGCTGTCACCACCTTCAATTTCAATGATTGATTAGAAGGACTCAGAGAATTCAGGAAAGCTCTTAACTGATGGTTATGATTTGTTGTTGTGAAAGACACAGATTAAAATTAACCAAGGTAAAAGGAGCCTGGGGATGAGTCCAGAAGGGAGACCAGGCACAAACTTCCAATAGAGTTGTAAAGGTAGTTTTTAGTTCTCCCAGAAATGATGAATGACAACTTCTGAGTAGTACTGCCAACCAGGGAAACTCATCTGAGCTTTGAGGTCCAGCGTTTTTAGTAGGCATGGAGTATTTGTAGGGCTGACCTTAGTCATTCAGTCTCCGGTTCCTGTAAAAGTCAGACTAATACCATTGTGGCTGAAGGTCCCCCCACCACCACCACCATAAGTCATATCAGTAGCATAAAATGTCATATGTGGCCCAAGGTTCCAATAACAAAATTACATTCTTCTCAGGAATGATATTCCAAGGGCTTAGGGGTCATCTTCCAAGAGTGATCAGGGGCTAGGCCTTTCTTTGGATTGTGCAGGGTTTGAACATTCTGGATCTGATGATTTAATCATTAACTAAGGTATTTTAAAATTTGGTAAGGGTAGTTGGTAGTGATGAAAATCATTCTTGGCAATAATAGTGCCATAAGAATTATGAGAGGGGTGTAAATTATTACATTGGGTAGGAAAATAAACTCAATGGTACATAGTTTTAGTTCCCTTTATAATACTACCCAGTTTGGGAACTAAACAAACCGTCTCATTCCAGCTAACTGTCTTTCAGCTGCTGTGAATGTTTCACTGTCCTCCATTCTCTTGGTAGTCTTCACACCGTCTCACTAATTCTATCTTTAGTGAGGCGACTAAGTTGTGATGTGCATTCACTTTGTATTTATATGATAATGCTATTTTTAATTTTTTGAAAATTATGCTTTGACAATTGCAATCATTTATGTACTCTGATTGATAGTCAACCTCACTGACTTTTTGGTGCTGAGGGAGATCTCCTTTGTGGGAATCTGAAGTGAGGGAAACGGGAAGCTAAAACTTGGTACTCCATTGCTTGGAAAGTCCCTTTTGTAGGCATTTTTATTTTGTCTGCTAAGAACCCTCTCCTTCAGTAGCCTATTAGCTGGGCATGACCCACTTAGCCTGTTTCTCATGAATGTGGGCAGAGAATTGGGTGGAAGAAGTTAAAGTTAGAACTTGGGGATTTGGTATCTAGAGGCAGAAATATTAAGGTTACAATTTAGATACAAGGAAGGCTCACATTCAATAACCAGGGCCCCACAAGATATCTAGATTTAGTTACTGGTGTGTGATGTCAGAAATTGGTCTAAACAGTGGAAACCTGAAGTTTTAAGATAGTTTCACAGAGGGACAAAGTCTTAGGTATATAAGTGTGCTCAACTTTTGCCAGTCTTCATGACTGTAGCCACAAAACATGCCCACCTTTATTAGGGGGATGATGGCCAGTGTCTCATTATGGAGTCCTTCTTCCTGCCCAGGATAATACAAGCCACCCTAAGACTTACAATCTCAAATAATTAGTAAATAACAAAGCACAAATACTCAGAAATATATTTACAGAAAGCAAAGCCCCATCTCTTTGGGGTGGCAGAAGTTGAGGAGAAGATCATTCTGGGTTATTGCTATCTGGCCTCTGCAAAGTGTTGACTGATTAAGGCCATGCTCACTGTGGATGTCGGGGGGAGAATGGAAATGCTTCCTAAAGGTTGATGTGTTCGTTTGTAAGGCAGCTATCACAGAGTAGCACCAGCCAGTGTCTCAGACAACAGAAATCTATTGGGTTTCACAGTTCTGAAGCCAGAACTCAAGATCAAGGGACCAGCAGGTTGTTTCCTACTGAGGGAGAATCTGTCCTGTGCCTCTTGCCAACTTCTGGTGGCTTCTGGCAATGTTTGTTGTTCCTTGACTTGAAGAAACGCCACCCCAACCTCTGCCTTCGTGCTCACAGAGCGTTTCCCTGGGTGTCGTCTGGGTCCAAGTTTTCCCTGTTTTATGAGGACATCCATCGTGTGGTGCAGGGCTCATGCTTCTGTAACCTGACCCTATTTTCAAATAGGATCACCGTCTGAGGTCCTGGAGGCTGGAACTCCAACATCTAAATTTGTGGGGGTACAATTCATCACGTAACAGACGAACAGCTGGAGTGTGGGGTGAGAGTGGGGGAGAGCCGACAGGCAGAAGTTCAGGTCAGGGTGGTCTCCTTTCCTGAATTCTCCTTTTTCTATCTCCTACTCGTTTCCCTCCATCTCAGCTATGACTAAGAGAAGACTTTCCCACCTCCAATTTTTTTGAAATATTTTTTTTTTTCCGTGAAAAATGCTGGGACTCTTTCCCAATGCTTATCTTTTAAAAATGACACAACCGGTGTTGTCTCTATTTCCACCCCCCACACCAGCCCCCTTGAAGGACTTTGAAGGGTTCTGACCACAGGGATCAGCTTTCTTGTCTTTCATCACAGTACCCCACCTCTCCTCTCTTCCCAGTACTAAGTGCACAGTAGGAACACAACCGAAAGCTTTGTAATGTACTTGTTCCCTTCTCCTTCCTGAGAAATAGAACAGAGATTCATTTGGTGGAACAAACCATCACACTTTATTTCTTGTGAACGAAACATTTTCTAGAGAAAGCACGATAAATGTTAACATTGGAATCATTGGAAACAATGTGAATAGATCAATTTTTTTAAGGGATGATTTCTCAGAAACATGTCTCTTCAGATCATTGAACTTTATTTATAATAAACTGATCTTGGAACAACAAGTTTTGAAAAGCTCTCTAAAACCCCCCTGAAACTAGATAATTACTGAGTTATTTCAGATTTAAACATTTTTTTCTTCATAGCTAAGTAAAGGTCACAAAAGATAATTGTGGAACGTTTCCATCATTATGTCATCGGAGGACAGTGAAACCCCTTTTATTTCCATATCCAGGAAACACCAGCCAAGGCGCCGACACCCAAGAGAGAGGGGAATCCGGGGAGTCCTCTCTGAAGTCAGTATTCGTCATGAAAGGGGTACTCAGGGTGATCACACCACCTGCCAAAACAGTTTTACCAGAGGAAAACGGTTCACTCAGCTGCGAGAATCTCATGACCTCCCCCACCTCCTGCACTGGCCTGTTTCTCTTCCCCCAGTTCCCCTCTGGCCAGCACCTTTACTGGGGGCTCTGGCAGCACCCTGGATGTGAGAGTAGGAGGCAGGGGAGAGGGACAGGGTGTGGAAGGACTGGCTGCCACCACATTGGCCTTCCGCTATGAACCAAAGCACAGCGCCGAGTTGGCATGTGAAGTATTATTATTACCTGCCCAGGTGCTAGGGTTTAGATGTGCCGTCCCCCAAAAGCTCATGTGTGAGGCAATGCAAGAAAGTTCAGAGGAGAACTGATTGGGTTGTGAGAGTCTTTACCCTGTCAGAGAATTAATCCCCTGACAGGGATTAACTGAGTGGCATCTGAAGTAGTAGGATGTGGCTGGAGGAGGTGGGAACTGGGACGTGGCTTTGGGGGGTATATTTGCATCTGGATAGTAAAGTCTCTCTGCTTCTTGATCACCAGGTGAGCTGCTTCCCTCTGCCATACTCTTCCTCCATGATGGAGCTGGCTGTATATGGACTGAGACCTCTGAAACTATGAGCCCTTGAATAAATTTTTCCTCCTCTACAATTGTTCTGGTTGTGTCTAAGTCACAGCAGCAAGAAAGCGTATTAAAACACCACTTTTGCATGTGAAGTCTTATTTTGTGCTGATGGTGATGCTCTTATCTCTTAAATAACAACAGTGAAAGAGTCTATAGAAATGTGGAGTATGTGTGTGTCCTTGTCATTGAACAGCCAAGATCCAGTTCTCCGCAAGTACCACGAACACTAAAAGGTATTTTCTAAAAAGGCTCTCAAATGTCAATGATCAACTGAATGCAAACCAGAAAAGATGCATGGCCCAGCACTCTTAAATAATACTTTTTTGATTAATGGAGGCTAGTCTTTGTTTTAGCTTATTTATTTCTCCAGTTGGATGAGTTATTTTGCCCTCAATATTGTTAAAACTCATATTCAATGTATCAAATGTTAAATAATGTCACCACCTGCCTGTTAAAAAA